ATTTTTTTACCCTTCTATATGTTTACTTTATTTTATTTACTTTGTAATGCTAAAATCATATGTTTAGCAGATATAAAGCGGTTAAAAACTATCGAATTACTTTGATTATTTTTTTACCCTTCTATATGTTTACTTTATTTGTCAGTTAGTATTCTAAAACTTGTTACTGATTTTCAAAATTTGATTTATGGTGTTATTTTTAAATATTTTTAAACTAGGGTTTGCTGATGGTATCATTGTGTTTGTATAAGAGCTGTTAGGTAATGTTCAGCTGTTTGTTTTTGGTGTACAGTACTATTTTCTGAATTGTTTTTATTATTTCAGTATCTTATGCCCATTTTACTTAAAAGAAAATTTAGACTTAAGACAAATTTTAGCAATGACATAAACTGACTATAGATTTCATTGACTATTTTTTATATATTTTTCTAGGCTCAGCAGAGAGAAGAAGCTTATGAAACTCAGATTCGTAGCATGACTTCCAGGTTAAAAGAAGTGAGTTCTATTTTCATACTATGTCTTTTAAGTTCATGTAACAATTCATTTTCACTATGTTTAGGCCACGAGGACATAAAATATTCAATTCTGACAACTACCCACATATCTTGTAAGGGTTACAAAAATAGTGAACTCTGACAAATAATCCATAACTTGTCTGGGTTACTAGAGCCATGGAAAAAAATGCTGTAAGTTTTTAGCTTTAGAGTGAAATATTTTGACTTACCTGTGTTGGGCAGGGTATAAACCACAAACAACTCACTTGGAAAAACTGTGCAGTATTATACATAGCACACAACACCAGGTGTGATAACTGTATTGGAAATAGGTGTGCAGTACAACACAAAGCACGATAACTGTGTTGGAAGTAGTTGTGCAGTATAACACAAAGCACGAGAATTGTATTGGAAATAGTTGTGCAGTATTACACAAAGCACGATAATTGTGTTGGAAATAGTTGTGCAGTACTACACATGGCAAGAGAATTGTGTTGGAAATAGTTGTGCAGTATTATACAAAGCACGATAATTGTGTTGGAAATAGTTGTGCAGTATTATACAAAGCTAAAATATAAAAAGTATCAGACTAGTTTGTTTACTCATCAGCTTTTAAATGATATTCTATAGATTTCTAAAGTTTTAAATGATAGTTTAATAGAAGAAAAATCAGCTATAAACCAATTTGGTACGAAAAGATTGAAAACAAAACATAGAAAAACTTAAACCTTTGTTTTCGTTAGTTTACTAGAGTACAGTGTTGTTTACAGTTTCAAAAATATTTACACACTAGGACTTAACATGAACTTTAATGCCAACTAGAGTTACAATAACAGTAAATTCCTACTTTAAAAAGTGTGGATTAATTTTTCTGGAGGATTAATTGAACTTCGTTTTTTTACTTTAGGCTGAAGCTCGTGCAGAATTTGCTGAAAGATCTGTGCAAAAACTCCAGAAAGAAGTTGACAGGCTGGAAGGTAAAAAACAAAATAATGAAGATAGTTTGTTTCTTTTAGATACTTTTATATGTATGAATCTCATCTCTCTTAGTAAGTCACACTAGTTATCCACGTTACTAAGTTACTAGTAAAGAATTACTATTTTCAATTATTACATAAAATGGAGAGTGCGTGGTTGCTCCAGATATGAATGTTCCCAGAGAGTATATGCCTCTGAAGATGATTATAAATATGAAGAGACTCAGTGAAGTTTCATTTTTATGAGTCTTTATTTAACTTCAAGTTTAGGCTTTTTTGTTCCATCCAGTTTCATGTAAGGTATTTTATTTTATGCTTGCACACAGACATTGTTTTCCGTGGGGGTTCGTGGTCCGGAGCGCTCACAAAGTTGTTATGCTCGTACTCCAGAGTGCTCATGGGGTAGGTATGTTCGTGCCGTGAGACAGATATCCACATCCCGAAGCAATAACAGTTTATTTGTTTTCTAGAGCAAAGCTTCTTTGGTCTATGTGGTGTGTCCACCGTGGGGAATCTAAACCCGGATTTTACTGTTATAACTCCATAGACTTAATTACCACTGTTCCATCTATATATATATATATATATT